TTCCTCCGGCATAGTCCGCCGTTTGGTTTCTTTCTGGTTCTTTTTCTGCAACTTTATTTTATATATTATTTCTGGCTCTATCGTCCACTCTTTTACTACAGATAATGCAGGTACTTATTTATATTTATACGATATCCATCCGTCTATAAATACTGAAAATCGTCTCAGACCATCCGATGGCATTACTTTATATTGGTAATAAAGTCCGTGATAGAATTACGTTTCCCGCGCCTTGCAACGGGGGACCAATATTTTATGGATGGTATATATTTCATCGTGGTAATTTTTGAATGCGGGTTTAGACGTTTAGTATTCGTTTACTGCATTTTGTGAGGATAGTGCCGTCGATGCGTGGGCCATTTGTTGTAGTCGTTCCTACAAATCCGACATTCAATAGCACAAAATTTAATTATACTTAGAATAGCACGAAACTTAGTTCGCTCTGTCGCATTCGAATCCAATTTTCAATCTGACACTAATTGGAATAATTGATCACGTGGATTCACCGCGAATACAGTCTCTTATCTGTCTATTCTATTCATTTCTCTCAAGTGTTAAACGAGACATGGTTATAAAAAACGAGATAATTTTATATTTTATAACATAGTATTAGGTTTAACCAGGTTTAACTATTTTCTCAAACATTATGCTAACTATAAGTAAAAATATTTTCACTTGATAAGTTATAATTAGGCTGTTAATGAAAAGGTTATTATTTACAAAAGCCAAATTTGATTTGAAGTAGATTTAATCACCGACATAGAATATCACATTTACTTTTATCAAGGGTTGTCCACCCGTACATATTTTATAAATTGAATAATAAAATCTGAAGATACAACCGTTTTGGATAGGAAACTCCAAATATGCCAATTCAATTTAAATGAAATCAGTTTTAGATAAGGCACTTGCAATGACTACCTACCATACTACCATCATACTTCATAAACATTTTTATGTGACATGCTTTGCACTTGCTAAACCATGTATATTATTTTTGTTAGCTGAACTATTTGTGTTAGCTAGAATTATTTGTGTTAGCTGCCCTTTCCACTTAGATACCAATGCCATATACATCATTCAATATCAGTTAGTTTTTCTTGATATCAAATATTTTTTATAAATATTTTTATGGCTGCATATACATATATATTATATAAAATGAAACCTTCCTAACATTTATTATAAGAGTTGGTTTTTGCCTTAAGTGTGTTTGGTTGTATTGTTCTTTATATTTCCAACAGCTTGGTCATTTATGGTTAGTCATTAATTTGTAGCGAAGTGTTCCATGCAATTAATAACGAAAAGTTTTACCATTAAAATCTGATTTTACAGATGGCGCATACAATTTTTACACCCCTATAAATCACTTATGAACCTCTCGAGGCATTGTTTTTTACGAGTACTTGAATCGATTTCGTCGACAGCTAATGATACATTGTATTGATAACTTGCTTCTATTCGAAAACATCTTTGGGTTCGCCTTATATTATTTCTTCCTTCATGTTGTTCTCGGGAGAGGATTCGCTGTTTTTTCTGTTTTTCGCGATGAAGATTGTCTGTTGACGTGGTCAACGACCCCCGCGCTCATCCGACTAGCCGCAGCCAAAGCCGCGCGCTCTTATCATCAACTGATCGCCGGCAAATGCGATTGTCCGAGAGCAGAATCCTTCTATTTTACATTTGCACGGCACAGATACCTTGAAACAGGGCTGACATCCAATTGATATTGATGTATCATCTTAGATCGAAACTTTTGCTTAATGACATGCCCCGAAAATTTAATTAGGTATCGCATTCCGTTTATTGATTGATATGGGATTGAATTGAATTGAAACTATTTGATAAGGGACTCAGAATTCATAAAAAAATTGTGGACAGTTGGTTCTTGCTTCATCTTTTCATTTAGGATTTGGCGGAGGTCATTAAAAGCATAAGCTCAATTTTTAAAGATAAATTCGGATGGACATGCAAATCCTGAAATACATTTAGTCCCGTCAGCCAAAGAAATAAAAAATGGGCCACATCATAATTTCTTTCTGTTATGCACAGAAAAATGTTCCACACAAGTTACTTATAAATGTAATTTCTTATTGTATATCATTATTATTTAACTATCATTTATTTATATATTATAAAGATATATATATATATATATATATATATATATATATATATATATATTATCTCTATTATTTACAACTGTCCAGTAAAGGACCTTCAATAAATTTGGGACGTTGTATACTACAAGGGCATGTTGGAAAAAACAACTCAGTAGTTGTTTTTTCATTCGATATAAAATTCACAATATTTTATTGATAATTATATAATTTTAACTATTTACTTATTGAATAATTTCTTATAAATAATGATTAAGTTATTTCCATTTTTTGAGTTGATGGCTTAAATCCAGTGGCGCTTTTCTTTTCAATCTTTTTGGATAGTTCTCTGTTATCAATTAGTTTGCTAATGATTTTGGGTGACTGATTAGCTTGTTTCTATACTTGTGTGCTGTTTTTGTAATTACTTCATTTATGGTAGGTGTATTCGTGTCGGCATGAATCAACCAGTTGGGAATATATTTTGGAGCTCCTAAGGCAACTTTCAAAAATTTGTTTTGAAATTGCTGTATTATTTCTATATTAGTCTTATGAACACTGGCCCACAATTGTATACCATAGCACCAAATTGGTTTGAATAAAGATTTATATAAAAGTAGCTTATTGTATGAACTTAGTTATAAATTTATAAGGAGCAACAAATAACAATAACAAATTAGAATTCTCAATAATTCAACTTAGAGTGATAAATGTAGAAGCAATAGTCGATACATTGGAAGTTGTCTATTGGCAACACTTGCAACGAAAAGATCAAATATCAACATACAAAAAAATCTTGTTTGATAAAACTTTGTACAGTTATAGTCAAAACGAACTCCTTCAAATATAGCCCTATAAGAAAGTGCCTTATACTGTACCTAATCTCACATTACACTCTATTCAAAATGATGAATTCTACACTTTTGATGTATTAGGCGTCAATCAAAAAATTTCCATCAATGCCAACCTCATCTAATGTGCACTATTATGAGCTACCCATTAGTTAACCAAACTTCTTGGGACAAATAACTGTTATATACTGAATTAGTTTTAGTTATGCCACCGTTAGCAAGGGTAGGGAGAATCTCATCATCACACTGCTATTTCCATCCAATAGTTTACGGTTATGACAATGACAACCAGAGTGATTCGAACCCAATCGAATTTTGAGTTTTGATATAATGAAATTAGATTGATTGGCAATATCAAACCCTGATCGACGTCTGTCTACCATCAGATTATTAGTTGTTAGTTGTACTAACTTGCTACGGTGCCGGTCAATACTGATGATCGGGTTTGAAACGCCTCGGGGCCGTTTAGAGACGACCATCTATATTTAGACTGCATATATGCTATCTTGTACGTAGAGAACCTCATAATACCGTAACTACTTTCGCGGTTGCCACTTTGATATCTGCAATTTTCTAAAGACTTCTTATAATACGATCTTGAGGTAAAAGAGGACAGAAGATTTTGAGATGCATTCACAAAATTCTTTAAAATTAATAACATCCCGAAGGAGTGGTTTATGTTTTCACCAGACTTGGTATTTCATGCTTTCTGAAGTTTCAAGTCATTCTCAGTCGTCTGATACCGAACTTGAACAAATGTGTGCGTGTATGTATATGAACCAAAATTTGGTCACTGATCGAAGTTTTCTGAAAAACTGATGTACTTATTCCAAAAATTTAAGAGCCCTTCGAAGTACCCCAATAAGAACTCACGTTGATTAATTTTGTTGGAAGATTGGCCAAACTATTTTTTATAGTTAGCTTATAAGTTCAAAATGACTCAACTATGGTTTTATCAAAAATCTTGAACCTATTTTGAAAAGTTAAAATGCCTTTGAAAGATATTAGTTAGAAATCGTGCTGATCAGTTTTTGGTAAAGCTGATCCTGCTTTTTTAATTAATTGTTAATTTTTTTAACGATTTTAATGAAAGGTATTAGAGAGTTTATGGCCTTAACGAACATTCTATGAAAAGTGGTTTAATTATAAAAATTCATTGAAGTTTGGAATAATGAGGCGGGTCAAAAACTCAAAATTTTTTAATCACTATTTTAAAAATCTCAATTATTATTGATTAGATCGATTACTTACATATTCCTAGAAATTTCTACAAGTATCCACAAGGCAATATAGCAACTTACATATTGTACTGTTCGAATAATCATAACTGGTATATGATTTAAATATACCATGTCCAATACCAATTTTTATTTTTCTGTGAACGAAGGCTAGGATGTTAGCCGAAACGTATGGATATCAAACAAACCTATAAAAATTCATACAATGTGGCTGATATTAATATTCAAGACTTTATTTTTCGGGTTCTTGTATCATGATTTTATTTATCCAATAGCCTCACTTTTTCTTAAAGAAGTTACTTATTTAATTATTCATTTAAAAAAAATTCTACGTTTCGGCAACGTGGGATGACCTCTTCTTTGGGAACTTTGAAATTATTTTATTTATAATTAAACACTCACTAATAATGAAATTATAAGTATACTAAAAATTGTGATTGAAAGTCTTCAAACTATAGATGATTACTATTATGAGTAGATACATATAGGACAAAGAAGTCTAATGGGTACATAAGGCCAAGGGTCTTCCTAAGGGACATCCCATATTTTCGAAACGTAGGAAAGATTTAAAAATCAGAAACTGAATGAATATATTTTAGAACAAAAAGTGGTTTTTAATTTAAAAAAATAAATAAAAACATAAAATATGTATATACCGGTACTCGAGCAAATCATAATATTTCTTCATAATCATCAAATAGTATTACATTTAAAAAAAACTATCTAGTGCTCGTCTTTTCCAATTATTATTAATGTTGAATATGAAGTGAATTAGTGATCTTACCTTTAATAGTCATTTTTTTAATTTTCAGTACCCAAAGCTTCAAATGGAAAATGAAATAGGCAGCGCCAAGGTAATTCTTCCAACGTCGGTCGAAGTGCTGTCGCCATCTGCCCAAGATCTGCTTGGCCGACTGCTTGAAATCAATCCACGCTTTCGGTTAAGATCATTACTAAATATGCGTGGTATTGCTTTTTTCAAAGGTTACTCAATAGATGATGTTATGAATTTAAAGGTGAGCTTAGATATATAACGTATTATTAAGTTTAAATTACTACCACAACCTACTTGCAAAATAGAAATTTAAAATTAATACTATCATGAGTATATACACATGGGTATTAAAGTTTTTCTGAAGAGCTATTCTATTTATGATTTAATCTTACTGAAGTAAAGAACTCATTTTTGCTTTAACAATTATTTATTTAATTTTTTATTTAATGTTTTCTTCAAAGTTCCTACCTTATATTCTCAAACCATAGGAAAAATTAAATAAATGTTTTTTTAAAAAAAAGTTTAGATCAGAAAAATAAAATCAAAAATATTAAAACTATCTAGAAAAACTTTAACTTTAACTATGTTTATATTTATATATTTTTATGTATATCTGTATAGATTTTTTGTTCAAAACTAAATCAATTTTAAACAAATTTAAATAATCGTATATATTAAATTGTATCGTCTTGATTAAAATATGTTTTAATATTCTGTTTCATTTTTAACGAAGTGGCTAAACAAATTATACACAACATTCATTCAGTGGTTTCAACCAATTAAGTAAAAACTATTATTCTATAGCAAGAAATTGTTAATCTGAATCATTTACTAATTTTTGTAAAATATTTGTGGGAGATAAATCTGATTTGAGTATGATTTAGATTCACTATTTTATACTATCGGATAACAGTTCTAATTTAATTGATTGAAACCACTGAAAAAATGTTATTTATAATTTGTTTATTTAATTCGGTAAAAATGAAACAGAATATTAAAATATATTTCAATCGATTAATAGAATTTATTATTAGATAGTATCATAAATTGTAAATTTAAACCTTACTGGTATCAGAATTATCTCCCCATAATATATGTACATAAAAGTGTTTGTGATGAATATTTTATAAAATATATTCACTGCATATGAAATAAATTCTTTGATAGTCTTTGTTAATACAAAATTCGAAAGCTATTTTATATAGAACTGGCAACAAATTTTCTAGTTATCGCTTAATAAACATTTTTCTGATTTTACAACCATTAACATTGCTTCGGAAATTAGTTTGTTCAAAACCTGTTAATTCAATTATTATTTCATGTATCAATGATTTAATACCTTCAACTATTTTATGATATTTCTCTATAATATCGATAGTTCTGGCAATAATATTATAGAAAAATATATTATTAATTGCTTTCTCTTCCTTTCTAGATTGTGCCTTTGCGTCTAATAGAGATGGCTTTAAATGAACCATTTATAATAACAGAAAGTTCCCAATGTACAGCGTTTGATGGATTTAGTTCAAGTCTTGTGTAGATATGAATAATAAAACTCTGTTTTTACTCGAATAGTCTAACATATCACTTTAGATAACCTGTATAACGTTGTTATAATTGTATAAATTGCATTCCATTATATTATAATTATGTTCGAGAAAGAGTTATTAATTATTATATAAAAGCGATTGATTATTGTTATAGGTAAAAAAGCCTCCAGCAGTTGTTGATACTTTCAATGTCCAATCTGTAATAATTGGATAGTACTAACCAATAAAGTTGATTCAATATTAATATGAAGAGATTTTTATTGACTTCCTGTGGGGTAAGTTATAGTAATTTAATTTTTATATTTACACATTTGTTATCAAGGGAAGTGAAAACTATTGAATTATAAATGTGTATTGCATGAAAAATATTGAGAGTTTTCTCACTACCACTTATTGTTTGTTCGTAAAAGTGAAGCACTGAATTAAAAAATTTAATTTATTAAACTGATCATTATGATTGATAATTTGGCCCTGTAAAATGAAGAAATTGTTACAAACCTACAGCTATTTCGAAATATACCCATTTATTACTTTCATATTACATGTATGGAATAATACAATTCCTATGTATAAAAATGTATTTGCATTACATTGTACAGATAACAGAAAATAATATTAAATATATTCCATATAGTTTTATATTAAACCATATTCCTCAACAAGCTGTTAATTTTGTCTTCCCGATTACCAAAGTCACCACCTTCGACATAATGCACAGTCTTCTTACGCCATCCACCAGTTGGTGTGTTCAGTTTGAAGGGCCACAAGAAGTTCGATGTGTATTTAAAACTGGGTCCAACTGTGAAGATGTCTTTGACAAGATCTTCCATACAGATATGTCCAAAGCGAGCCAATTTCTTTTCGATGATGGTGTTGTCAGTAATGGGTACACGTTGTCCATCAATTTTGGCAAAACCACGTTTGTATAACAGTTCCCTTACTGATTTCAAGTTCGGGTATCCCCATGTGATATAAGGTTCAGCAATACGGAGCATGTTGATGGTGGCTTTGTTCAATTTGATGAAGACACCATTGTTGATTTGTTTCAATCTGAACAATTGGAGAACTTTACGTACTTTAGGGGCTACTTTGTTGATACCACGAATACGGATGACAAATGCTAATTTGGCTTCAGCAGGGATGTAGTAGTTCTTCTTGTTTTGAGCTTGACGGAATAAACGGATTTCATCGCGCTCTTTTTGTCTGTATTCCTTCATGTAAGTCTCAGCACGGACGAAGTATTCCTTGCGATTAGCTAACTTTTTAGCCTTTTCCTTAACAAGGGATTGGATTCTGCGAGTGCGTTGTAAATCACGCCGTTTGCGACGTTTCAATACAGATTCTGGCACAGCAGGGAGTTTCTTAGACTCTGCGAGTTTTGTAGGTTTTACGGCCACCATTTTCTTACCTAAATTAATAAAATATATAAGTTTACAAACACAAGTTCACATAAATATGCATGCCAGAAGGATGAAAAACAATTCTAGGTTAGGATAGAAATATTATGTCAAAATGTATTTCTTTACCACACTTTTCTTTATACTCAACAGATATAAAATTAGCACTTAATTACCTGTTTAGATACACCCAAATGGTATATTTATTTTCGAGAGAATTAAATTCAACGTGATGCCGAACCACGTTTTCTAAAAAGGAAAGCACAGAGGACTTTTCAAGTATTTGTAGATGATAACAAAGGCAACACCAATCTAGATCGGAAATTGTTTGCAGCGCCACAACGTACAAATGTGGAACTAGAATTGCAGGACGTTTTGCTTACAACTTCATGGTATACATGTTTTTTGTTGATAGCTTGCTAGCGAGCTGTTAATTTCAAATATGGAGGACAGTTTTAGTTGTTGTTAGTGTTATTACTTTGCTGTTTTTTTAGTTTTTTATAATGTGTGATATATAAAATATAGACATCTCTTCACCAACACCTCGGTTTGCGTCAATTTTATCTGTCAACGTATCTTATCAAAAGACTTTGTCAATATTTTTGAAAATATAACCTATAAGTAAGTTTCTTAATTGTACAAAATGCGTGTTAATAACTATATGTTGGAAACAGATACAATCTTAATAATTTGCGACATTACATGTGTTTTGCTCTGGATACATATCTTGTCATCTAAATGTTTTCTATGGTTTATTTGCAGAGCCAAATTGCATAAGTACTTACACCTTTGCATCTCATATATACATCTTCATAAAATGGGTAGTAAAATGTGTGAATATAATAGTGTAGTCATACTTTTTCATTGTATATATACACACATTAAAAATGTCGGTAGTAAAATGTGCGTATACAAAGTGCTTATAATGTTATTAATGTGAATATAAAAGTGATTATAATAAGTTTTCTAATCAGTTGCAGTGACAGCAGATTGTTCGATCTTCAAATAAATCCTGCTTATAATGACTGGCACTAGGTATGTATGCAAGCATTAAGTATTTAAAATACTTAAGTCCAAACATATTTAATATCACCTTTGATTTTTGTTCTACAGGGCCACTATGAAAGCTGCAAGAAATATGACTGCAGATAGCAGCCCTCGAAGCGGAACTACCCAGAGGCAGCCATTTTGTCATGGAATGAGCAACAGGTCAGTTTTTTTATTTGTACAGCATTTAATTCAATATCACACTGTTCGTAACATTTTCGGTTCAGGAAATAGAATTTATAAAAACGCCATAAAAGCAATTCAAGCGTTTAGTTTTACATAATTTGCTTGGCCTTATTGCCACTTATTTGCTGACTATAATAAATGCCAGTTTTGGTTTATACTACATATAATATAGTCATTTTCAAATATTTCATTAAATAATATCTATAGTTACCCAATCTCCAACGATTCTCAGTCTACTAATGACTAATTTTATCTCACATGCTGCATTTGAAAAATTTCATCTTCGCTTTGTAAATATTTGTTTTTAACACCTATTGTATCAAGCTATCTCAGAACAAACATTGAAATGTTTAAATTAAACATCTTTATTGCACTGTGTGCTATTTATTTATCTGTACAGTACATAATTCACGGTCATTATTCCATATTCAGAAGCCTATTTTATAATACTATGCAAAAATATTTATTTTCTACAACTAATTAACTATTAATTTATTTTCTTAAAAGTACAGTATTCAGTAATAAATTAATTTTTAAGTATATATAAATTGTGATGTGGGAGAAGAACTAAATTATTCATCTGTATCATCTTTAAAAAAATACATAATTAAAATATTGATTTAAAGTACAAATTAATATGCATATAAAGTACTTATGCTGCTGTTTTTACACCACATACATGTAAAACATAATTTTGTAAAACCATTGGACTTTTCCTAAAATTAATAGCACTATATTTATCATAATAAATATAGTATATCGATATATATTAAAAATGAGCTATTTTGGAATGTACATTAATTTAAGAATCTAATGGACATCTTTTGTTCAACATCTGTGCGTTCCAAAGCTTTACAAAAATCATCAAATGAGATCATTTGATCACCATTTTGATCAGCTTCTAGAATAGTTCTTTCGGCAATGCTTGACAATTGTTCTTCACTTATATTTGCACCCACCATCATATGTAAAATGGCAAGAAGTTCATCCCGAGATATCATGTCATCATTGTCCAAGTCATACATTTTGAATGCAACTAGAAGTATAAAATTCATTAATTGATAAATTAATTTTATGGATATTGGTCTTCAAATGCTTGTTAAATTGTGAATATTCAAAATCTACATTTGATACATAATGTTTTTTGATAAAAAGAAGTATTGGATAATTATATAATTACACTTACATCTCAATTTTTCTTCCCTGCTGTTCAATTTATTTTCCCGATTCTTCTTAATGGGTCTGAAATGTGCTAAGACTTGCATAAACTGTAAGAAATTCACCCTGTCATCATGACTTTGAGCAAAAAATGCATGGACAATCCTATCACCTAAGGGATTTATTGCGAGTTCGGGTATTCTCAAAAAATCATCTCGTGAAAGAGTTCCACAGTCTCCACGATCTAGAGATGTGAATCTTGAGTACAAACGCTCAATTTGATTTGGAGTGACTGGAAATAAAATACAGAACATTATTAAACATGAGTCACAATGTTTAAAGTTTGCCTTTTGTCAAGCATTGTATCGAAATGAAGTGAATTGTTGTTTCAGAGAAATTTCTTCTGCCGAATATAAACATGTGTTTATTCTTTTCAGATGGCAGAGTTGAAACCCTTCTTTTGAAACATTAGTGGAATAGACATAGACTATTAGAATGATGTTTCACAATCGATTTCACAGTTTGTGAAAATTGTTGTGGTGATGTTATGTGATATATGACATGTCTCTTCTCTTTGTATTATCTTAATATATATTTAAAACTTTCTACTTACAGCCAGTTTCATCTTGAATTCTTGCAATTTCTTCCTCTCTTAGTAGAAGTGAAGATTTGTTTCCCATTTTGTAACACTATATGATTTATACCGAAAGAAATAGAAATGTCTTAAGTAATTTTAACAAACGTATGGAACAAAGAGTTTAAATGACATAAAGGCCAAGCATTTGTACAAGGTTTAATCTTTAATCTATGAGTGCAAATATCATTGTATCGCTAATTGAGTTATCACGTGATCACGTGACTAGCGACTGCCCAAGCGAAATTGCAACTGTCAAAATAAACGTCAGAGTAACTTACGAGTTTGCGTTTAGATGGCACTAGGAGTACGCTTGAAATTGTAATTTTAGGGTACAGAAAGATTCCCAAACATTTTTGGGTCGTAGGCCCCTTGCTATGTTTTCCATTTTTGTATATACCTCCAACTTTTATCATGGGCATGTATAGATAACACTAGAAGTACGTTAAAATTGTAATTTTGGGGTATACAAAGATTCCCAAACATTTTTGGGTCGTAGACCCTTGGAGTGTTTTCCATTTTTCCATAGACCTACTTTTTCCATATGACATTAGAAAAAAATGAATTATAATTGTAAAAAATTGTAATTTTGGGGTATAGAAAAATTACCAAACATTTTTGGGAGACTCCTTGGAGTGTTTTACAATTTTGCATAGACCTCCTACTTGTTTCATTGGCATAGATGACACTAGAAGTACGTTAAAAATCTAATTCTGGCATATATAAAGAATCCCATACAATTTGGGAGACCCTTTCGGATGTTTCCTATTTTTGAATAGACTTCCTACTTTTCCCAAAGATTTCCAAACAATTTGGGAGACCCCTCAAGATGTTTTCTCTTTTAGGATAGACCTCATACTTTTATCATTGGCATAGATGATACTAGAAGAACGTAAAAAATTGAAATTTTGGGGTATATAAAGATTCCAAACACTTTTTGAGACCCTTTGGGATGTTTTCCATTTTTTGATAGTCCTACTTTTATCAATGACATAGCTATGTCAATGTTAGTGTTATCTAGATAACACTAGAAGTACCTTAATGGTGTATGGGAAGATTTTCAAATCTTTTTGCATCGTTAGACCCCTGGCGATGTTTTCCATTTTTGGATAGAACTCCTACTTTTTTGATTGTCATAGATGACAAAACAAGTACGTTCGAAATTGTAATTTGTGGCATAGAAAGGTTTCCAAAAATTTTTGATAGAGGCCTTGGGATGTTTTCCTTTTTTGGACAGACCTCCTACTTTTTTTTAGTCTTTGAAAACTAGTATATTTGACTACTTACAATTCTTAAAATTTGCTTCCTTTTTTTCTAATATCCTATTATTTAATCACTATATACAGTACTCGACCGGGATTCTAACTGAGTACCTCCTCACCCCTACTTACTTGACACTGTTTTTTTTTTTCTTGTGAATTTCTAAGAATTATAAGTTTAAACATTATTCTATTATGTGTATATACATTTATTAATTAAATTTCAAATAAGTTAAGTGCAAGTGCCATTTTCTTTTTTTCTTCTTCTTTTTACCACTATCTTATACTTCAAGTAACATATACAGAACTCGACCAGGATTCGATCTGAAGTTGAAGAAAAATTTCACCCTCCTTGTTTATTCTGATCTTCATGTAAAAAAGCAATGCAAGTTAGAAGAGTTTAAAATTTTCAAAATTGGTGCAGTTGTTTTTCGAAATGTTGTGTCAAACGATTCAGAATGACTTGTAATGAGAATAAATTTTAATATCAATTGATCAACACCAACTTTTTTGTTTTGACGACGTAGACTTCCTGCAAGTTGTTAAATACCCTTGTGCGTGAATATACCACTACTTTAAGAATCACTGAATATTCCTGTAAATATTGCATTTGCCAAATCGAGACCTTCTGAAGGTGATGTCACTAGTCTATCATAGGAAACGGATCTATTCTAATATTAAAATATTAAAAGTCACAAAACCTCATGGTATGTTAGGTTAGCTATAAGTGTCATGAAAGTTGTAATATAGTTTATACAGTGGTGTTGTTTTCTGAGGAATATCGAAATTTCTTTCGTTTAATTTCATACATGCGGTTGAATTGAACTTTAAAATTGTAGTTTTATGAGACATTTGTAATTTTATATAATTCCTCTGTGTTGTCTGAAGACATTGTGCAATTCATGTTACTGAATACTAGTTTCTTGGTGTAATTTTATCTATGTGTTGTAATTATTTATATAATTAACAATTTACAATTAATATGTTTGATTCAAAAACTTGTGCTGTCGAATGTGAAGGCGATAGTGGTAAGCCATTATATTTTTTGCTTAAGGAATGTGTATTATTTATTTCTTCTTATGCAATATCGTGGCTTAATAGTACAAATGTTTTCCCAGAACTCACATTTTTATAAAAAAGCTATTTAAATATAACACATATTTTATATGCATATATTAATATGTAATTTGTTAATAATCTTATTTTCAAGTAATCAAAATATAAATCATTATTGTACTGTTAAGCAACGATATAGTATTCATAATTCCTTTGAATTGAATGAATTATTATTTATACTTATTTATAATAATTATTATATAATTATTATATATATTTCTAATAAATATTATATGTCTGTGACATATAATTAGGATTTTTTTAAGAAAATTCTAATTGAAAGATATGAATATTTTTGGAGATGATTTGGATATTTCTGATATTTCGAGTAATTTACTTATTTCCTATAAGTCAAACATTGTATGTAAAATGTTTTTGACCAAAAATGCTTTGACGCATAATTAGGATTTTTTAAATATTTTTTCTAATTCAAGAATATGAATATTTCTGGGGATGATTTGGATATTTCATATATTTTATCTAAGTATTTTACTTATTTCTTATAAGTTTTCAAACTTATGTAATAAAATGCTCTTGACCAAAACTGCTTCGACGCATAATTACGATTTATAAAACATTTTTCTAAAAAAAATATGAATATTTCTGGAGAAGATTTGGATGTTTCATATACTTTATTCGAAATAAATATTTCGAAGCCTTCTTTATTGCGGTTATTAATTGTGGCAAACGTGTTCATTATTTTTTCTTATCTATATATAATTATTCTGTGCAAAACTTGCAAATTAAATTTAAATCCCAGCTTTTGAGCCGAAGTTTGTACTTCCCTGACCTGACTGTTGTTTGGTTGAATTTTTGAGTTTGTTTTTGGAATTGTATTGTCGGATGTAATCGAATTATATAATATTATAACCCATATTTAATATGTAAATTCAGGAGCAAATTAGTGTAAATTAAATGATATAAAACAATTTTGAATAGTATGAACTACTTATATATTTGTATTATTATTTGCATTGTTGACTTCTTTCTATATTATAGTAACAAGTTAATAATACATGTTGTAATATGAATATATAGTATTAATAAAAAATTGAATTTATATATAAAAAATGTTTTATCTATAAATATAAAAAAATATAATTTATGTATAAAAATATATATAAAAATCAAATTAAATCATTAAATTTATGTATACGATACCAATAAAATGAATTCAATAAAAGTGTACCTGTTACTTGTTTATACCTAAGAATAGCCTTTGTTTTTTAGGTACAGTTTGTTGGATACAGGTATACACATAAAGACAAATATTTAACTTGCGTTCAAATTTCTAGTTATAATTAATTTTCAGTTTTATATTTGTATAAAACAAATCAAAGCTTTAATGTGGACCGACCACAAATTATATTTTTAATGTCATTAAGAAGTTTACTTAACGATAATGTTTCATTTATTTCAATTTTTGAATATTTGCCCATGTCAATGCTTGCAGATATTCATTAGATTTTTTAAGTCTACTTTTTGTTTAAACTTAAAACAAAATTGATATTTAAAATAATTTTTTAGTTTTTTCAAGATACAATTCAAATTTTATAATGACAAAAAAATGAACTACCTATATGATTCTACTTGAGATTGCCTGGTCAGCACCTTCTTAATCTCCTAAGTAGTATTTTTTATTTGTAATACTTTAATAAATATAATCCGTGAAAAACTAATTTCGTTCGACAAAAATGTCAATAAAAATCTTAATATCGCATATTTGTTAAACAATAATAAACCGTGAATGCAACAACTCTGAAATTACTGATAAATTCTCCTGGGTATTGTTCAGATATTTTCAAAATAATAAGCGTAACTAATGATCGGATTGACTCTTACTGTGAATATATTTTTTCAGTTTTTATCAAAATTTTCAGCCATTCGACGTTTGTAATCACGGATTTTTCTCATGAACATTTATATTTTTCTTTATTTTTTAGTGGGCGTTATAATCGGTCAAAATGTAAGTAATTGTTATATATATATATATATATATATATATATATATATATATTTGGTATTAGAAATTATAATTGAATGATATGTATATTTATTTAATTAAATTAAACAACTAGTTCAATTAATTTGTGGATTGGTTGATACAGTTGATCAAAAAAAATGATTTAGTAATTTGGTTTCGATTTCTCTAAGTTCTCTATACCACTATTTTATATTTTAAATTCTAAATATCATGTAGAAAGGTTCAGTTTGAATTAATATATTCGATGATATTTTTTATCAATTTACGATTGTGCTCTTCTTTTGAATGTTAAATATTTCATCAAAATGCTTAACAGTACAGAGAATAGAACTGGATCAGTAAGAACTGAATCGGTGAATTACAATAATATTTTTTTTTGTTTTCATCTCTCTATCAATATTTTATATTTTAAATGTACTTATTTAATTTTTTAGCTTATTTGCATTTTTCAAAATTATATATTTGCATACATTATTTTATTGATCACAAAATGGAACTTTAAGATAGAAGATCAGTATTTTTATTATTGTTGCTCGAATGTTTGATATTTGGTAAAAACATCATAGCAAAGTGAATAAAGATGGGATTAATGATCAATGTCCAATTTTTAATTGTATTAATTGGTATTGCAAACTAAGATGAAAATTATCATTCAATCCTAATGTTGTAATAATTTTAGTATGTCGCCGCCCAAGCATGCGAAAGCGACAGTTGTATCGTCCACGCGGAAGACATTGCTCATCGAATGTGGTTCTTGGCAGATGTGAGAACAAATGTCTTCAGCAAGATAGCATTCCAAA